TTTTTTCTAGTCTTTAAGAATAAGTGAAGAGCTTTGTTGCAAAATGAGACATTCACTACTTGATAAAATAAATAAATAAATAAGACACCTACTATAACAACGTAGGAGTTGGAATAAAAAAAGCACACTGTGGATAAGTGTTATGTGTTCTTAACACATTTTACAGAGTAGAATCATATTTATTTTCAATATTGACTGATGAACCTCCTATTTAATCATCAGAATGTAGCACCTCGCTAACACCACATTAAATGGTGGTTTATTTGCATTGGCAGTGATGTATAGCAAACATACCGCTTTATAGTTATGTTACATTTACAAAAGACACACATATCACAGGAAACATAGCCTGAACGCAAGGAGTTCATTTGACATTTCTTAAGGAATAATTAACACCACGTTAGCCAGATTATTATTTGTTGTGACATACAGAGAGATCAAGAGTGACTTTCCCTCATCTACAGTTTAATATGATGGCTGAATCAACAACTCTGAGCTCTTTGAGATAAGGTTTGAAACAATCTGCCCAGTGGGCGAGTACATATTTTTTGAAGTACAGCAAACCACCACTGATGTGGGGCTACAGCAGGAGGATTTAAGAAGCTGATTGCTGGAAATCCGTGGTGCATAGCAGAGGAGCTGAAGCTTGGCTTATGTTGGTTATGTGGATTTCTAGTCTTTTATGGATTTTTGTCCAGGCAAGCTTCTTTACTTAAAATGTACCCTTTATACACAATGAGAGTATAAGAAAGAAAAAAAAGCGAGATAAATCAAATTAATGACCAGCACAGAGCAACAGCATGAAATAAAGAAGATAAATGATGAAATTTAGGAGAGAATAAATGGCACAGAGAAAAACAAATGAAGAAGACAGCTAAAAGGATGATGGTGAGGGAGGAAGCTTAGGAGGAGGGAGAAAGACGGAACATTTTTCTACAGAGGTGGCAACGCACATCAAAGCTCGACATGTCTAACCTTCTAGGATAGAGAGAAAGAGAGACAGAGACAGAGAGAGGGAGGGAAGTGGGTGGGGATGTCACCTTTCATCTTGCCACTGTTGCCACCCTTGATGCCTGTAGAAAGCTGCCATTACATGTGCCGTTTGATGCTAGACATGCTTGTACCAAAGTGCGCAATTGTTGATTGTGAGTGTGTGCTGAGTGTGTGAGAGAAAGAGAGTGTGATGGATAGATGAGGGGGTGCTAACCAGAAGCAGCCTAAAAACATTACATAAGATATCATGTCTCTATTCCCTCCATCCGTTCCTCTGCTTCGGATCTCCAAAACGAGTGCTTGGGTGCAATGTCAGGAGCAGCCAGCAGGGGGGTATAGATCAAAAGGGCAAACCTGATGACCCACAGTAGCACTCATGTAATTAGGCCAAACCACAAGTGTATTGGATGTGAAGCCATAGAAGCCTCTAATGATGAGTGATGAGTTAGCTTTGCTGCTAAAATGTCACCCCTTGTTTTCAAATGTGCTTCAAACTCAGACAGAAAGTTGGCCAATTTGTCGCATTTTCAGAAAAATAACTTTCTGGTGATACCTTCATCATGTGACGTTGCGAGCTCCACCGTCATCCTCTTTGAGCCACAACATGCAGTTTATCTGGGTCATCCTTCATTAAGAATTTAGCAACCACCAGTGAATCTAGGTGCAACATCTTGGAAAACTTGTAAAACCTGACAACAAAAGCCCCTTACCCACATCTTCCTCCCCCTCTGCTACCTCTGCTTAAAAAACAAGCAAAATTGATTTGCCTGAATTTTAAATGCAACAGATGTTCCGCTGCTGTTTTTTTTGCCAAATGTTACCATGTAACACAGAGTATAGTAATCTTTATCTATGTGCCAGCTTGTATTGCGAAAGTCATTTAGTTGTCACAACATCTTAAATCTTTATTTATTGCACTTGAAGATGTAAGTTACTCTAAATTCTTTGAAGAGAGGAATGGGTCACAGGGGAATTGATAAATTGGTTCTTTACAAGATATAGCCTGAATAATGATGTTGGTGACTACTATTTGAGCACGGTAGCCTACGTCTTCTTGTGGAATCAATATCTCTGTTGAATCAATTGCACAGGAGGTTTAGCAGAGGTTTCCTGCTGTGTACTGAATCAGGAAAACAAATAAAGCTGAAAGACAGATGAGGCAAGCATCACGATATAATGGGCCTATTGCCCAGTGCCAGAATATACAGACTCCAAAGACACTGGGAAGATAAAAGGATCAATACAGTTTAAAAGATTTCTCAAAAAAATATCATCAAAACACAAGAACGAGAAATGTAACAAACAAAAGATTCACTGAACATAAAGTTATTCAGAAGAGTTAACAATTGCCTATAATACTTAGACTGGAAATAAAACAACAGAGAAAAATAATCAATGGAGCTAACTTTTCATGCACTTGTGGAAATTGTAAGAAAACAACATATAATTAACTGCTAGCCATGGTGACTCACCATACACCAATAAGGTGTAATGATCGGCAGCACGTCCATAGTTGTTCTGGGCCTGGCACAAGTACGTCCCGTTGTGTGATTGGCTGAGGCGGGAAATCTGAAAGGTAGGGCCAGAAATCTCTGCCCTCTCAGGTAAGGTGTCATTAATCTTGGACCACATAATACTCCTGGGCCTGAAGGGAAAGAGACAGAGAGAGGTTTAATGTTTGATAGTGCTGAATTGACATGTTGATGGATGATTAACTGGTCAAAATTAACTTCTTTGTGGATAATCAAATAATTGTCATTAGTCATTTATCAAAGAAAGATAAACATTTATTAGTTCCACCTTCTCAAATTTGAGCATTCATTGCATTTCTCTGTTTTATATCACAGTAAATTGAACATCTTTAGGTTTTGGGGTTGTCATGGGAAATTGTTTTACTGTTTATTTTCAGCTTGAGTCAGCTTTACATACCGTCCCACTCATATAAATATCCTAACATAACAAATCCTAACAGCATAATGTTCAACCTCTACTGTAAACTATTTAAATACAGCTGGACTGTATATTTACACATATATTTACTTCTACTAGTATTTCTGTCACCTATAGACCCATCAGTGTTAATGCAATGCTTAGAAATGTGCTACAGCGATGTGTTTACTTTTTCAGTATTTTAAAATCATATAAATATTCATTTATAAATGTACTAATACCATTAAAGTGACAACTACCACTAACACTTTGTTATTGCAATTTGGGGGTCGGCTAGTTCAAGTTCCATTGGAGAGACTGGTCCAGGATGTGTTAACTTGGAACAGAGGGTGGAGGTGTGGGGAAGCGTTTATCCCCCACCACAAGAGGAGAAAGATGAATATTGTTAGCTAAGTTATATGTTTGTCTCTTACAGATGTTGTACATGTGTTAAATGTAGCTGCAAAAGTTAGCTACTGGCAAGCATACATTCAGGAATCACCCCGTTTTGTTCAGAATTGGAGGGAGTGCGAACCTCGCAGCTACACAGTAAGCACAGGACTTGTGTAGTCTGCAGACACCTGGGCTACGCTAGCTGCTGATGGTCAGTAAATACCTCTAAAATGTAGGATGGCTGCTTTTTAAATGTTTCATTTTCTGTTTCTACACCTGCTTTATTCAGAAGATGGGATATGTGGGTATGGAAGTTTTTGAGTAAGGTCACCTTTGACCAACCTGGGCTGAATTACAAAAGTAATGTAACTTTTGCTGATAAGTAATGTTGTAATGTATTGGTGTTATTACTTTTTCAATAGAGTAACACTGAATAATAAGTAACTAACCATCCCAGCAATGATAACCACACATCAACTACCTCTCTAACTAATACCATGAGTAGACTGCTAGTCTTAAACACATTTAGTAAAAACTGAAGTGCTAAAGGGTATTAAAAATGAGAAAGTGAAAAGAGACAAGGGATCAAAGCACAGGCGCCAGGGGATGCTATAAAAAGAGAGGTGAAAAAGGAGGGTAAAGAAGCCCACAGGGGGCCGATGACATGAGAAGAAAGTATAAAAGGGGCATGGAGAATGAGCCAATAGCAACAGAGGGCTGCATCCTGACAAATAATGAGGAGACGGATGGTCAGAGGGCAGTGATGGTGTGAAAGGGTTGGCAAGAGGGAAAGGAGGGCAGATGATAGAGAAATCGAGTGTCAGATGTGCAGAGTGGAAAACACAAGAAGGAGGAAGACGGAAGCAGAAAAGGTGTTCCTACAGGTAGAGGAAGGACTGAGAAAAGAAGAGGTGGAGATGATGTGGTGGGAGATAAAGGAGCGGAGCAGGCAGGCAAAATGAATTGGTCATGAAAGACGGGAAGGCAGAACAGACAGGAGGTGCGAGGATTACAGAGACATCCTGGCGAACACAAATGTGTGTGTATGTGTATGTGTGTCTGGCTGAGTGTCATGGCTCATGCCACCCTGGCCAGATTACAATCCTGACTCATCTGGGTTTTAATCCCTCAGGACGTCTAATTAAACCTCTTTTTTGCTTAGTCACACACACTCTCTCACTTATCCTACACACACCAAATGTGCACTAACAAAATCTTCTGCCTCTGTCTTTAACATGCACGCACATATACGTACTTGTACTCCCACACACAGTAAGTCTTTGAACGCTAACACACAAATAAGCAGGCAATTAGGTAAAAAGACAGAACATCATCTCCATCTCTCGTCCTAATAACAGACAAACAATGAGTGTACCCCTCCACCAAAAGGAAGTAGCATATAATTGGTCATTAATACTTAACAAGCAGTTAACAGGGCCAAGGAGCAAGCAGGAGGAGAACAAGGGGACTGTAATATGTGTGTGAGTCAGTGTGTGCATGTGTGTGCAGTCCAGCGTGAGATGAGGGTCAGAGTCCAGAGTGGCCTGCTGTCCCATCTCTCACTGTCACATACGCGTGCATGCACCACACACACAGTGTCCCCAACCAGCCGTTACAAAGCTTTAGTGGGGCTATAGCCAATACGCTTCTCAGCCAGTCCTCACTGTGGGATTTCACTTAAATCATTACACACACACGCACGCACGCGCACGCGCACGCACACACACACACACACACACACACGCACACACTTTGGCTGCATGAAGCTTTACTGGGGAGCTTTAGTGGACTTGATGCCCACAGACAGACGGACCATCTAGGGGAGGGTTTAAGAGCTTAGGACCCAATACCCTTCTGGAAAGTGCACAAAGGGCTGTGAACACACTAGAAAAAAGGCTTTGTTTCAAAGCTGGCTCTTAAAAGTGTTGACTGCTGATTGGGTTTAGGAGCTCTACACTCACACCGAGTCACATACAAGTTTATGATATGTCCACATTTACACTCAATTTCTATTATACTTTTACACTCCTTTAGGAGCCTCAGTTCAAAGCTCTTTTTCTTTCAGTTCATCATGTAATAAAATATGGATCAGGTTTTATCTCTCTTTCAAACATTAAATGTCAGGTAATACCACAGACAGTGCAGAATTTTTCTTTTAGCTCAAACTTAGAAGCACAATAAGTCTTTGGCACTATACTCTAATGATTACAAAAACATCCTAATAGGTTTGGCGACAGTGTTAATATTGTAAATTCATATGCGATAAACCCTTGACTTAGCTTCGCTCATAGTTCAAGGAATGATGCATTTGGGACCAGTTGGCCCAAAGGGAGCCTGCATCATTTGTGGAAGACAGTCTATTTCCTCATAATTTAGTTAATTTTTAAAAAAAGGAGTTAGTAAAGAGTTACTGCTCATTTCTAAGGATGATTCCTGAAAAGAACCAAGAGATTTTGGAGTAATTATAGGGAATATATTGAAGTTGATGGAGATTAGAAGTACTTGGTAATTACTTGAAGTTTCCAAGAAAGAACCCTGGAATTATCTGGAATAGTAATTATATAGAAAGAGGTCAACTTAATGTTCATTTCAGCAACACATAAAAAAGGGGTAAGATCTCTTGCAGCTGGCTATTTTAAGCTACTTAGGAGAGATGCTCATAATTTTTTCTTTAGAACCTGTGTTAAGAGTTGATAAAATGCACATGTTCTCGTTTCAGCGGTGTCCTGCTTTACTCTCACACATTTGGTAGCCGTCCAGGAAAACCACTGTTTTCTGCTGCGGCTCTACTGGAGCAGGTAGAGGTTACTCAAGGACATTTCCACAATAGCTATTAAGTAGAAGAACAATTGTTTGTATGTAAGATGAATAGTAATTACTTGGAAAATAAACAAAAGTAAAGCTGTCTGTGTCACAGATCACCTATCTGATTCATCCTATAGCTCATAAATCAAACTTCAGGCAAACAACCTTTTGGCAGCACACATTACCAACTCATTCCACATGCTGCTGTTTCTTTCAATTAATAATAGAAATTTCATATATTTTCACTGTTGAAATCCACAGAAACATCACCAGATACACATCAACCTCATCATTTTAATTTAAACAATGAAGATCATTCCAGGTTGCTGAAATTAAGTTTATTCTAACCTTAAACTTAGAAAACATGCTCTGGGTAAATGTGTGAACTGAAATCTTCTAAAGCCAGCAACGATTTCACCCTCCAAACAGATTCCCAGAATGAAAGTAGAGCCCTGTAGGCTTGTAGCTGCTACCTCCAGCTACCAGCTGTTTGGTGATGTTACGACCTAAATGTCATTCTCATAGCAGCTCAAAACAATTTCCCAAAACAGTTCTTATGTATATACATTTTATGAAATTCTGTGTTTGTAAGGGTTGTCGTTGAACTTGGCAACCTCCTGCATGTTGTCGTCAATCAAATGCTGTCTGTGTATCCTTAAGCCGATTTGTCAAGACTCATTGCAGCTTTTCAAGCGCAAACGCTTTGTTGAGACAAACCTTTTATACATTCTGACTATTTTGTCAAAATTTCATTATGGCACAAGAGAAAATACATAAACACACTGCTGTGACAACCCAAAACAGCTTCACAAGCAGCTTTTTGTGCCAGCTGGTAAAGCTGGTCTGTTTTATATCATGTGGAAGGTGAAGCTGAATGGACGTATGATTAACTTTCTCTTTCAAACAACCTTCTGAAGTCATCAAAGCTGCTTTTTTGTAATAGCAAAACAGGCAATCATTCACATTTTGGAGGACAACAAAAGTCAGAGACTTGGTGTCCAGTTTAGTGAAGTTTCTCCATTGGCTTTTCATTGTTACCTTTACCACCATGACCAATGCATAGATAGCATTTACTGAAGGCAGATCACACCAACACAACACAATTTAGCACACGTACACACACACAGACTTACAGAGGGTTCCCACTGACGGAGCAGGTGAGGCTGAGTGAGTCGCCCTCTCGCAAAATTCCAGAAGGAGGAACAATTCTCACTGTGGGTGCAACTGTGGGGAGAGAGAAAAAGAGGAGGGGTGAGAGGGTGAGTATACATGTGAGAGAGGAAATAAAAAATAGATCAAAAGGATCAAAATGGAGTGACAATCAGAGAAGACAGGAAAAAAAAATCAGGAATAAGAGGGAGAGACAGGGAGGGAACAAAAAGGAGGGACAAGGGAAAAGTGTGTTAGTGGCAGGAGGAAGGGTCTTTAACATCTGTTTCCAAGGCAACCAGCCGACAATCCTACGGTTGAGACACCTGTTATCATAAGCAGCCCGCCGTTCCAGCAGCTGCTGTACTGCACTTACTTCAGTAAGAGAGCGATGGGAAACCAAATCCACACTGACAGTTGGTCATTATTACCAGTTGTCTTGCTGGAGAAACCACCAGCACACAGATTGACAAAACTGTTGAATATTAATCATTCTGATCTATCAACAAACATTAGTTTACATGTGGCGAATTAATTCCCAAAAACTGATGCAGAAGTGCTGGCTGAATATAAAAAATATCACCAACTGTAAATATCTATATTATTATTAATTTTATTTGAACAGGGACAGTGCCACATCCACCAGGAGGCCTGTATACTACCCCACACAGGAGCAGATGCCCCTTCCGCACCGGGGTTTTAGCACATGTGCTATTCGGTCGGCGGGTGGCGCGACTCCTTGGGTACTGACTAGGCCTGTCATTAGCACCGTGTTGACCCTTTCCCAAACATGATATATTGATCACATTGAACTGGCAGGAATAATAACATAACAAGAGAACAAATGGAGTAAATGAACATTGGTTGACTTGTTGAATGAAGGAGAAAAATGACATGAACTTTAGCATCTATTTTCACGGAATATAAATAGTATTGATGCATCCATTAAAATTAAAATCTGCTAAATCTGATGCCTCTCAGTTGATGCGTTTTGACGTGACGTACTTTGTGTTTCTGAATTTAAAAAAGGATTTGAAAACTAAATAATTCAAATTAATATAATTATTAAACAGTAATCATACTGAATTGTAAGCTAAGTTGTTTCTCCTCACATCCAAAAAGAAAGACATGTCTAAAGAAGTAGTGTTTGATAGGATTAGAAGGAAAAAATGGATTTATATTTCATAGATATTAAATTATGAATTTCAGACTTTCCCAAATAGGGATGTAGATTATAGCTGTCTGACATTTTCAAGATTAATCCTACTGAAGCATCTACAGATTCGTGAAAATACTGAGAATTCAGCTTAAAATAAAAAAATATGCTTCTATGTTGCCCTGAGTGAATATTAGACTTAAGCAAATTATACATTTAAATCTCTTGCAGTGTTTTCACTGTTTGCTTTTGCCTGCCTCGAATGGACATGTGTGCAGAGATTTCAGAGCATACTAGTTTGAGCAAATAGGCCAGCAAAGAGACATCAATCCCAGAACTGTACTGGGATAATTGCACATACTAATGTGACTCAGGTTTTCTCAGCCGTTGCTGGTTAGCTTCTTAAACTATGGGCCAGGACCCTAACCTGGCCGCAGGCCTATTTCTGCCAGCTCCCTGCATGAAAAGATTTGTATGTATTAGGTTTTAATGAGAGTAGGTCTCATACAGGGCGCTCTGAATATCACTCTGTTAAAATCCTGGACTGTGTATAAATGAGCTTCATTCTAAAATGAGATATCTACCATTTGAAAAATGAGGCTGCTACCCCGACAAAATTCTGGCTGACATTAAAGTAAAACACTATAATGAATAGTACTGAAGTAGCGACTTAAGTGACAGCAATACAGATGGAATAATTTGTATTTTTGAAATATTTGGTGACGAACATTATGTTACTTCATTTGTTCCCGAGATGGATAGAAAACGTTTTGATATAAAGTGCACGCACGTAAACACACTGCCTGAAGGAGGGACTTACAATACACATCCAGGCGGTAGTGTCGAATCCTCTTCTGCCCACTCAGTGCAGGGTGGAAGGCCTCGCAGCTCAGCGCCGCCCCATTGTCTTTTCTTTCTACCGGGATCCGGATGGTGCTGGACACACTGAAAGTCTTCCCATTGTCCTGCTGGGATACCACACCTGGGGAGAGACAGAGGGGATGAGATGATGGAAGGAAACAGGTGGGGTGGCCAAGAGACAAGTTAACAGGCAAAACATGCCTGCTCTTCCTTTTTCCCTGCTGAGACATCACACATATGGTGGGAGAGGCAAAGAGACAGGGAGAAAGGAGGGAGGGAAAAGTAGAGGAGAGTTTTGGAGAACACAGAGGTGGATAGAAGAATTGAGCAGATTGAAAGGAAGAAGAATAAATTAGTGACTGATGAATGAGCTTTTTGCAGCAGCACTGTGTACCTGTAGAGGGGAGGATGACATGATGGTGGAGGACGGAATAAGAGAGAGAAAAGAGAAAGCAATTTGCATCTATATTTCATGGCAATTATGAGCAGCAGAACTGTTTGTTTGCAGATGGTGAATCAACTGAATATTTGTGTGTGCGTGATTGTGTGTGTGTGTGTAAGTGAAAGAAAGAGAGAGACAGAGAAAGAGATGGGGGAGAGAAGGATAAAAGAGAGAATATGCATAACCGAATTGAGATTTTAACTGAGCCAGACGCGGAGAGAGAGGGGGGCGTCAAAGGACCAGGGTGAGAGAAGAAAGGCAAAGGAGAGAAACTCATAGAGAGAGAGGGGGCAGCAAAACGGGCACGATTGATGGGGGGGGGGGGGCTGCAGCAAGACAAGCCCAGACATGAAAGAGGACGATAAGAGTGCCAAGCCAGATGTAGAGTGGAAGAAGAGAGGAAGAGGAGAGACAGAAGGAGGGAGGAGGAACAGCGGGGTGACACGGTCACGTCTTGGGAGTTTGTGCTTGTTGAGGCAGAATACAACAATATTACTTATATTGCGCTGAGTTTTCAATTATTGCCGGCCAGCAAATGAAAGCAGGCCCAATCGAAGCGTGAGGGAGGATGGCGGTGGGTGCAGATGAGCAGGAATAAGGTAGTGGCGGGAAGATAGTGTCTTAATTAAATAGTGCTTTCCCATATCTGTTGGGATCTGCCTCTAACCTTTCGTGCCACAGTTCATTTAACTCAGGGCCAAAAGAGAAGGACGGAGAGGAGAAGAAGCAGGAGCAGAGAGGCAGAAACCAGAGGAGAGGAGAAAAGAGCAGAGAAAACAGGAGAAGAGGAGCAGTGAACAAACATGAGGAGAAGAGAGTAAACAGAAAGAAAGGGTGTGAAAAAAAGAGATAAGAGGATAGGAAGAGAAAAGAAACAGGAGGAGGGGGAGGAATAGAGAAAATAGAGGAGAGAAAATAAGAGCCAAAGAAACAAGAAAAGAGTAAAGGAGAGGAAACAAGCAGAGAGGAGAGAGGACAGGAAGAGAGAGTAAGAGAGGAGCAATTAGGCGGAGGGAGAGGTGAGCAAGGGAGGTGAAGAAAGAGGCAAAAAAAGGAGGCAAAATGGGAGGAAAGAAGAGGAGAGGAGAAAAGACAAGAGGAGTGGAAACAGGAGAAGAGGAAAGGGAACGAGGGGAGTGGAAACAGAAAGAAAGAGGAGATAAAACAGGAGGAGAGAAGCGGGAAGGAAGCAGGGGGACAGTGGAAAAGAGAAGTACGAGTAAACAAGATGAGATGAGTCACAAGTCAGCCATCTTTAAGCCATTTGCAACCAAAAGGTGATGAGCGTCACGTCTCTGTCACAAGTGAAATTTAAAGAAGAAAAAAAAGAGCTCAGATGAAAAGATAGGGAAGGAGTAGAGGGGAAGGACAGAGAGGGTACAGACAGAAAGACGTTGACAAGCGTGTTCTGCCAGAGAAAAAGGAAGAGACTGGATGAAAGAGTTGTTGAGTGTCAGACAAAAATAGAAAGAAAAAGAGACAACGGCTGACATGAAGTCTGAAAGGGCAAAGCATTTCTCAATGCATGTCCCCAAAACTGTTGACACCAGATTATCTCACATTATTTCATCTGGTCTGTGAGTTATTTGAAGGCACGAGTATGAATTCATGAATAACAATAATGTGAGGCATTTGACAGCAATTTGTACTTTTAAACAATGTTGTCTGTATTTAATAAAAACCAGAGATAAACTGAATGAAAATTATAGCCATGAGCCTGAGTGAGAGTTATACGTTGCGTAACTCAGTCTTCAGGAGTTTTTTGATTCACACTCAGTCGACTGAACAAGGTTTTTGAGGAATTCATATCAAAACGTAGTATTATACACAAATGCTTATTTAAATGTGGAGTGCAAAGAAAATTATTTCTCGGGGGTCAAATAGACTGAAGGCAAGAAAAAGATAGTTCTCAGATGTATTATTGAGTGAAGCACCCCTTTAACTGAGAAGCAAAGGGAGACAGTGAGTTAGGAAGAAGGACAGATCAAGGTAACAGACTGATGAATGGCTCACAGAAGTATAGAGAGTTAGATATTGGTGAATAAAGTGTGTATTTGTGAGTGTGAATAAGATTGAGAGTGAGTAAAGCAGCAAATCTCCAGTATATGAGCCATCTGTGCTTTCATGTAATGCACTTGTGAGATTATGTGAAAATAAAACACATTTGAATTTTTGAGAGAGAGATATACTGAGAGCGGGAGATGTGTATCTGTTTGGATCAGGAAATAACTTGACTAGTGGTCATATAAGACAAAAAAAATAAGCACTGAAATCTTTCTGATTTTCTACTGGCTGTTGATGTCTTTGCCACACAAATATCAACACACACAGATATTCTATGAATTTATGACTGGAAGGAATGGAAACAGAAAAGTTATTACTGCTCCCATCTCAAAAAGCATGTTTGATCATTTGAAACTAGATCGTCGCCTATAAATATTGCAAAGAACACAAGGAAAAAGGAGGCTGAGTTTTTGGCATCCCTGCAGCCAAAACCTTCCCTTTCTCCATCCATTTCGCCATCCATTTCTCCATCCATCCATCTTATTAACCTGCTCCCATCAACTGATCCATCTGCCATTCCCTCTGTCAACCCATCAATCACTCATCCATTCATCCCTCTTTTATTCAGCACTCAGTCTGTGATATAGTCCACCCATTCCACTTCACCTGCCCTATATACCCCCATTAGTTTCCTCATTCATCTCCCATAATCATTTAACATCCATCAGTCCGTCTATCAGCCATGTACAGGTACCTGGTATCTCCCGACCATTGCGGATCCAGCGCAGGGTTGCGGCCGGCTTGCTGCGCGGCGACACACAGGTGAGCTCCACCTCGCCGCCCTCGACGGCCTCCTGCTTCACCTCCACCGTGGGCGTCTCCGGGGGCACCGAAACAGACAGCGTCGCCACCTGGTGGTGCGTGGCGTCCGTGTAGAGCTGGCAGAAGTAGCCGCCCTCATCCGACACGCTGACGTTGGTCAACGTGATGCGCACCAGCCGTGGCGTGAAGAGCACCATCTGGAAACGGTCGTCCTTCAGAGCTGGAGGCGGATGGAGATGATGGAGTGGAGCAGAAGTGGGATGGAGGTGGGACGAAAGGGAGAGATGGTGTTGAGGAGGAGGGGAGTGGAGGGTGGGAGACAATGTGGAGGGGTAAAGAGATGGGGTTAAGAGGAATGGAGGGTAAAGTGACAGAAGAGTGGCAAGGACAAGCAAGGAGAAGGAAGGTACATCAGTCATTGGTAGAAAAATCACAAACTGTGTGTGAAGTGAGACTAAATTTAAATAAATACTAAATACTGTAAACAAAGAATAAAAGTAAGGGAAACACAAAAACAAAAATGTGTTTTCTCTGGGTCAGAGCAATTGACTTTTTTAATCTAATGCTGTAGAGACAGACAGAGCATTAAGAATTGTTTTTGTCATGGTGCCTTGCTTGCTTGAAATACACCACACACACAAGATAAGACTGACAAAGTGAGTGCCATATTAAATAAAACAGTTTTAACACATTTTACTGGCAGGCTTTCGCTTGCTTTATTTTGAATTTGTTTTCAGATGAGAAGCACCTCAAAAAGCGGCCTTGCACCTCACGCACAAACTTTCACATTCACATTTATCAGGCTGCAGGTTCTCCACAAGCTGGCTCTGTTGGGTTAATGACACACTATTTCTACCCGTGTCACTAGTAAGTGATGTACTCGTACCATGGAACAAAGTGTGTATCTGCATCTAGTTTTGTCACAATTTTAGTAGCATTTTTTTGCCGTTAGTGTCCTGTGTGAAACCAAAGGTCAGATTTGACTTACTATGTAGCATGCTTGACTTACAGTACATCACATACGTAACTCTATGTAACCAGCAAATTATTTTTATTATTAATATTGGTAATACTATTTGACAATAACTTTTCATATAACTAAACTATTAGATATAAGTTATCCTATCCATTCAAATTAATACCCCCAACTGTGGCTGAATTCTAGCGTCCCTGTTTGGACGTATGAAGTAGCTACACGTAATGCAACTTTATCAACACAACCACTTGCTCGCTGTAAATTCTCCAGGAAATGACCTGCTCTATTCACACATGGGCTCAATCTAACATTACATGGATTTAGAACCAGGGAGGTAGCAGGGTAAAGTACGTTTAATGTTTAATTCTTTGTCCAAAAAGGGAAACAACTGTCAATGACCACAACACCTAGATGAATTGCTGGAAAAACCATCCATGTGGCCAAAAATATCAGAGGCCTGGATCCAGGCTAGTGCAAACCTCCCTTACCACCCACAGGGAAGTAAAGTAATAGCAGTTCAGACCTGTAGATGTAGGTACGCTGATGTTGCCACTTGCAGGCCAAGAAAGTGACAGTTGCTGCAATTGCTTGCACTTTTCTTGCCGATAAGGGCGCAAGTTAGATTGGAACTACAGGTCCAGAGTTGCAGGGCTAAAAATGATTGCCCTGTAGCTCTGCAGTTTAATGACCTTGGCCTGCCCTGGTTGCTGGCACTTTGCATCAGTAACACCATGTATGCTTGTTAATTAATGTCTATAATGTGTTCTATAATTTTTTTTCCGTATTATTATATGTATTTTTCAGGCAGTAACTGGCAAATATACCAAACAGGAAAAGAGAAACAAGGGCTGCTTTAACTGAGTAGTATGACATTTACAGCTTTGGAATCAGATACTCCTTAGCCTCAAGATAGTTTGGCTCTGTATTAGCAAACAGTCAGCTCTATCTCCCACAGTCTGGAACAAGACTAAGTCGTTTTCCAGGTTTTCACTGCCTTCTAATTTGTGATGTCACTCCCATGGACAGCTCTGCAGAGGAAAAAATTGCAAAACATGGGAGAAATAGTGGCTGTGACAGCACCCAAGACGATTTTCCACTCTGGAATTGATAGTGCTGCTAAATCTAAAGCTCAGTTTGATATAAAAAGTTCAGAGTGAGTTTGCAAAGTCAGTCTCGACGGAGCAGCTCCAGGCTGTACATTGATACAACATAACAGATGTCTTGGTTCTCTCATTTCCAGCTTTGAGGGAGAGTGTTGTTCATTTTCCCAAGCACTGATTGGACTATCCTAAACTAGAATGTATTCATTCATTCTCTTTGTAACTGGTTGCTTTATTCCTCTGTAAGCCCATTTCTAATTAGTGTCTGGCATTTTTATTGTTCGACTTATTAGGTTTTAATCATTATTGTTTAACTTCCTGTGAAGCACTTGGTAACTCTTTTGAAAAGTGCTATGCAAATAAAGCTTATTGCACAACCCAAAATTATTTTAGGAAAGCTGTTAAACTGAGTGGTGCTGCCCTTTGAGTCAGTGAGAGACAGGCTAAATACTACAATTGTACACATTGTAAACACTGCAATTCAAGTGATGTAACCAAAGATTGCCAACGAAGAGTAAAAACGCAGCTTTCTAAACACTTAATTTTACAGCCAATCCTGGAATATAGACCAATGAGCTAGAATACATGGCATACAAAGGAGAAACAAAAGAAGGGACAGGGACAGGGAGGATGAGAAGAGGTGAGCATGCAACACTTTTCCTTTTGTTACTAAAGAAAGAGTTGAATCAATGGCGAGAAAAATGCTGATAATAACAAATAACACTAATAACAGTCTGTGGGTGACAGTGGCTTGATGGCCATAGATTCTCATTTGAGACTCACTTTGTATCGACTTGACTGTGAAAACTCTCCCTCACTCTCCATCTCTATTTTATTCTGTCCCTCTCTGCGCTCCTTTGTGTTGGCTTTGGCTCACAGCAGACACTTCCCTAATATAACAACCGGCCATCTCGCAGCATAATTCATCACAACACAGACACTACAGTATAGATATTGGCTTTGTGTGTGCATGTGTGTGAGAGAGAGTGGAAGAGGAAGAAAGAATGAGAGAAATAGTCTAATACAGCTACATAATGCGGCAGGCGGGAAAAGTTAATATAGATAGAGACAGAAATCCACAGGGGACTGAGCGAGAGCGGCCCTGGAGCTATGGAGTTAGTCCACTCTTCCTGGAAGTACACCACACTAATCTTTTCACCCCACCCCCAAAATTTCCCCTGCACCGGATGGCAGTGAGAGCATTGTTAGAGAGCTATTCCCCTCAGATAGGTAAATCTTTTTTCCCTCTCTGCACTAAATGGCAACTAAATGTCAGACTTCTGTTCAAGTCCAAGTTCACCTTTATTGTCCTATCTCATTTGCATGCGGAGGAGAGTTGGCAATAGGAGGAGAAAAAGAGAGAGGGTCCATTTGGTTAGTTTCGCCGCTCTATTATAGCTATCAGTCCCCACAATCTCATAAAACACACCCCTGACTGGTTCCTCACTTGCAAAACAGGCAGCCTAATTCACAGCACTTACAGCAGTGCCTCTATTTGGGCAGTTAGTGTGGAATGGCTCGGCGCAGAAAGGCCTCAGTTTGTTAGTCTGATGTCTGGGCGGCAGATGGGCAATCGACAGAAATGGAAGAGCCCTACAGCGAGTGATGAAGCAAACGTAGAGGTAGAGAGAGCCAGAGTGAGATGTAATTTACGCTTCCAGAAAATGTCCCCAACGAGGCTTTTCGGTGCTTACGGGAGCCAAATTAGTTACGGGAAGCCATCTATACTTTATACCTTGCCTAACCTTTGAATCACTTCCCAGTGCTGTCTCTTTCTCCATCGCCTGACGCTCCCTCTTCTTATTCTCTCTGTTGCTGTGTCTTTCTTAACCCTCCGCCCTTAGTCTCATTCTCCCCCACTCTTTTCTTTATTCTTTCTCATTTTGTCTTTCATTCTAGCTTTCACACCCCTTCTTTGTCCTTGCTCTGATTAGGCTTCATCTTGCCTTCCGAAGAGTGCAAGTCCATGTCTCGTGGGAGAGCAGACGGGGCGGCTCTGTTTAAATACTTAATGGAACTTACCGGTAGTGCTGATCTGGTAGAATTGGGGGGAGAGTTGAAAGTAAGGTTTCCCAAAGCAGCGACCTCAACTACCCAATTAAGGCCACTCCGTGATCGTGGTGACTAACAAGTGAGGAAAATGTGTATAGAACAAAAGTATTTGAATGCTGTACCAGTGAACAATGAAAGCGGCTCTCTTGTCTTCAGTATTTTAGTCTAATCTTGGCGTAGTATTCGGAAAATCTTCAGTGACTACTACTTTTACTGAGACTGTTCCCGAGGGGTGTGTGGGAGTCTTGATTGTCGAATCAATGTAATTACAAGTGCTGGAAGTAATGATTAGCAATGTGAAAATGTTTTCCAGTGCAAACTTTCACAGACAAAAATATCATGCCATATGTTTGCAAACACGAAATATGCATTTGAGTTACAAGATTTTTGCAATTATGTACTGTGGTTAAAAACACATTTAAGTATGTTCTAGGGTCTTATATAGTTCACACACAGTTTTTAGGCTAATGATGTGAAAGTATTGCTGGAAATGTCCTTCCAACCCGTCTTCATCATGTGAATGTTTTCTTTAACCATGGTACTTCAGTTGAAGATGTCTACAAGCTTACTACAACACACAACTACTTGAATTTATTTGCCATTCTATTGCTGTGCGAGACTGGCACTTGCATGGTTCTTACAGCTAAGTTCTTTATCTTTCACAAGCTCAAAGCCAAACATTTAACTGAAATGTTGGCCTTCTAATGCGCTAGTCAGTCCAGCCCAATTAAATTAAATTAAATTGAATCCAAGGATTATTGAATAACTGGTCAAAATATTGCGTAAGTAACAGTAGCAGATTGAGATTAAAACAATATAATGTGTAAGAGTATCCCATAAGCTACTTTGGAGCTCAGCAGCTTTAGTGAAGTTAGCTCAGCAAACAGACTCTCAGAGTCTAAATCAAGCTGAGAAAATTAACACCTGTCATACAATTACAACAGCAGATCAATCCTCAGAGTCATAATTAATCAAAACTATTTTCGGAGCAGCATGTCAGAGAGACAGAATGGGCTGACCATTCAACTGAGAGACTTTGATCTTGGGATGTAGATATAAAAGATACTGTTGAGGAGTTTGCACAATGCCATGCTCCGGTGAGCGGTGAGCGAGTGCTCTTTCAAGGGAATTTGAAGTTTCCGATTGGATGCTCTCCTAACCTGTTTAAGCTAATTTCTACTTTGGATAACTTCAATTGTGTTTTGATATGATTTGAGAAAAAGTACAGTACAAAAGAACAGTATTGCTAGCATACAATACAATATAAGAACAAAATCCTGCATGTGTGCAGATTTGTGCAAACAGAGGATTTGGTGAGTGGATTTTGTTACTGTTTTTTGAGATAGTTTGCCAGTTGTGTGCCTATTTGCGTTGCTTGGTGGTTTTAACGTGAAGTCAAGCCTTCTAAATCCACCTGTTCATTGATCATGCAGTATTTTTCCTTTTGTTTGCATGCTTATTTGCATAATGGTGGTAAAGGGGCCCAATCACAAATTTAGCACAGTCAATAACTGATAGAACCTGCAGCTGCTACTGGTGTGGCATACTGTATAAATTGTTTTAAACCTTAACCAACACATTCATTAGGTTGATGTGGTCTTTTAAGCTTGAATGGCCAAAAGTATATTCAAATTCACTCTCTCTCACTCTCTTGCCCTTAACTCTTAACAGTTACAAACCACATTTTTACACCACAGTCTTAAACGTGAGCTAACCTCTTAAGGAAGTTCATCACATAGATTACATATATAAATGGAGCGAAGCCTGCGAGCTAGTTCAGGCAGTCAACTCGAGCTGCGCTGCTAAACACACATGACATG